CATTCACACAAAATACACAGCGAGCAGAAGGCATTCACACAAAATACACAGCGAGCAGAAGGCATTCACACAAAATACACAGCGAGCAGAAGGCATTCACACAAAATACACACTACTGGATTACATCTGGGCAAGATCAGTTTCCACTGGCAATGGCTGTTAAGATTCACAAACAGGCAAACGGCAAGAATCGTTTTCTGCATAGTAAAGAAGATCATTTGTTGTACTTGAAATAAGCAGGAGAGTAACTGGCCTCCTGTGTGAGTTTCAGAGCTCAGCGTCACGCTCACCTGTCCACTTTGCAAGCCTTGTACCAGCCACCATATTCCACATAAATACCAGAGTCCTTGCGTTTGTCCTTCATGAGGGAAAAAAATATAAGAAGCAAGAAACGTGAGCAGGAAATATAACTGAGGCAGTATCAGCACTCAGAGAGAATGAGGACTCTGGGTCGGTCACTAAGATGAGACCTAACTGCACATACAGAATCCCAGATCTATTATTAAGACAAATGATACCTTGCTCTGTTCCCTCTCTTCTGCATGCATCCAAATGGGCTTATTGTCATCTGAAAGAAAGTCAACGTGCATTACTGTTTTGTAAACAGACAGCACAACAGAGACAGCACAACAATCTATAGAACCTTACAGTCCCCCTAGTAACAAGCATCAGCCACATCACTTACTATTGACAGATCCAAACTCCTTCTCATGAGCTCGGGTCAGAATCTCTTTGTAGAGACACTCTGCCTCATTGAACTTCCCCTGCTTAAGGTAGCATGTAGCCTAAAAGGGGAAAAAACAGATGTGATGATACAGGAAATGCAGGAATCCAGTTTCACAGCATATAGCCCCAACAAATGAAATTCACTTAGCTCAACAGAAAAAAAATTAGGATTGATTTTAAAGAAGGAATCTTGCAGATAAATGGGTATTGTCCCTGACAGCAACCATCTGGCCAATTACAACACAAACATGATTAATAACTCCACTGCCCAAGGCTTATTTGGTGTTCATCAATGAGCTTAACCCAGTTATTTGTAATTAAATCATGCCTAACAGGCTGCCCTGGACAGACTGGGACACTGTGCAGGGTACACAGTGCACCCATCTGACCCCTCACCAGGTTGTTCTTTGTCTTGGCCACGTTAGGGTCGTCGGCGCCCAGCTTGGATTCATAGATCTCCAGTGCCCGGCGGTAATAGTACTCCACCTCACCATATTTGCCCTGGTTCTGGCACAACAGAGCCAAGTTGTTCAGCTGCTTTGCCACATCGGGGTGGTACTTCCCGAGAACCTGAAGACACACACACGCAGAAATGAACAATGCTGACTGGGCCTCTTGTCCATTGCTGTCTATTGTTTTATCTCGACAGTAACCCTCAGCCCTACCTTCTCCCGGATCTCCAGAGCCCTTTTGCACAAAGGCTCCGCCTCCTTGTATTTGCCCCTTTTGCCATAGAGCACGGCCAGGTTGTTGAGCGTGGCTGCCACAGCCGGATGGTCCTTGCCCAGCGTCTTCTCCCTGATGGCCAAGGCATCGTTTAGCAGGTGTGCAGCCTCTTTGTACTTGTTCTGATCCCTGGAACATAAAAAAGATCACAGTTCACTTTTAATACCCCCATATCATTAATTCATGTACAGACTTGGTGACTGAGCTGTTTGTGCTGCTGCTTCACAACCCTAGGGTTACAGGATTCCAACTCCAGCACTGTGTTTACAGCGTATCTGTTCCAAGTAACCTGGTTACCCTGCACAGCCAGGAGACTTGCAATTCAGGTCAATTTTTTTTTAACACGGAGCGCGTCCCATGCATGACCTGCATTGTCATATGCCTTAGGCCACCAGCCAGATTCTCCAAATCACAGTAGTCCCGACAACTTAAGAACAGTATTACAGTACTGACCTATACACCAGGGCCAGGATGTTGAGCATGGTGGCTACATCAGGATGGTCATGGCCAGAGGTCTTCTCTAGGTCCTCCAGCGCCTGCTTGCACAGGGGCACGGCCACCTCGTAGCGCCCCTGGGAGGCGTACTGGATCACCAGGTTGTGGAGGGTACGCAATCGAGCTGGGATTTCATAGCCACCCTGCTGGGCTGCCGCCTCTCCGCTGCGTTGGGCTGCGGATGTGACGGAAAGAGAATATCCTCAAATATTTACAACAGTGCAATAAAAAGATACATCTGTATAAGGTAGGGATGGGGAATTGTTCAACCACACAGCCTTAGAAGGTGGCTGTTAATGGATTCAACAGAGGACAAAGCTCTTTGTCTAAGGGGTCAGGGGAGTATATTTCTACTGAGATGATTCCTGTTCCGAATGAGGTTTAATCAATTGCATTCTTGTCTGTTGGCAAACATTTGGACGTTGGCATTTTTGGACCTTAAAACCCCAACTCATTATTCACCCATTATTCTTGGACCATGTACCATGAAGTAAAATGAAGACTGAACAAGCTACCTGGTCCGTGGTCATCATCATTGGGGAACAGGTCGTCCAGGCTGTCTTTGGAGGTCTCATTGTTCTTCTCATCTGAGGGTGACACATCATCATCGAACTTCTTTATCTGGTTCATGAACTCTAGGTGTTTCTTCTCCTCCTCCAGCTGGGCCACACTCTGCTCGCTCTTCTGCAGTTTGTGCTGGGTTCCTGCCAGCTCATCCCGCAGCCACTGGTTCTCCTGGCACAGCCGACGCACCTGTGCCCGCAGCTTCTGCTTCTCCGACTCCACTGCACTCAAGTGGCTGGACAGAGCAATAATCACCTGCAGAACAGTACAGAAGTGGTGGAGATTAGGCCCACTGGACCAATGACACGCTTCCCATTTCACATCCGTCAGCCCGTCCTTGCAATACCTGCGCCTCACCCAGGCCAAGCTCAATGGCCTCCAGGCTTTTGCGAAGCAGAGTGGACTTCTCCTGGGCTGCTGGTGGATGTCCACAGTCCAGCAGGGAGGTGAGCAGCTGAGCATGCTCCCCACGTAGAGTTTCTAGGCCCTGTATCACAGCCTTGGTGTTAAGGACAATCTCATCCTGCGTGAGACGCTCCAAGGCCTCCTCATGTGGACACACCATAGTGGACATCTCCTAGGTATGACCTCACCTGCTGGGGAAGAGTGAATTATGGATGCGGGTACAGTACAAGCTCTTGGAGTAGATATCACACATCTATTTGATATCCATGTCATACAACTCACACTCGCAATGTCAAAAATATTTTGATGCAGGGATGGGCTGGCCAAAGTGTCATATCACAAGAATTTTGGTTGGAATTATGATTCACCATGTTTTTTTTGTTTACAAACCAACCAAAGTGGAATGTATGTAGTAATGTTAATTAACTATTTAACCACTTAACCAGCAATTCTATCCTTAAACTGCTTGCAGCATAATAATAAACAATAATTTATTAAGGCATGTAAATTATTGTACAAATAAAACTGACTACTTATAGCAAAAGTGCGTTTTAATTTTTAATACTAGTTTCAAAAGGTTTGAGTGCAAATGAAGATTTATTACTTCAGTCAATAACAATAACTGTGCACCACAGTTAAATATAAACAACAGATTAATTTGGTTGGTGCCAACTGTTATATAAACAGTATATTACAGTAGATTGGTCTTTGTTGCATTTCACAAATCTATTTCCACACAAAGCAGAAACAATTCTTCATCATCAGCCATGTTGCACATTGGTAATTCAACAGTGTAGCGAAATTGGTTCATGCATTTATTACCTCCAGGCTCGATTACTGTAATGTCTTATTCTCCAGTTGTCCAAATAGGTCATTAAATAAAATCCAGCTAGTCCAGAATGCAGCAGCCAGAGTCCTCATCAAAACTAAAACATATGATCATATTACCCCAACTTTATCTTCACTACACTGGCTGCCAGTTAGATTTCATGTTGACTACAAAATACTACTCTTAACCTATAAAGCTGTAAATGGTCTTGCACCGCAGTATGTGAGTGACCTCATTTGCAACTACATTCCGAATCGTATGCTTAGATCGCAAGATGCAGGTCTTCTATCCATACCCATAATAAAGAACGTTACTTTCGGAGGAAGAGCATTTGCTCATAAAGCCCCAGAGTTATGGAATAAACTTCCTATTAGTGTTCGGAACTCAGACACAATCTCTGCTTTTAAGTCAAGGCTTAAGACGTACCTCTTTAGCCAGTTTTTTGGATAGTATAATCCCCTTTTCTAAGGTGAATGGGAAATATGGAGGTTCATAGTCATTTGAGATTAAAGGTGAATGGGGGGGATAGGTGCTGTCACCCTGCTACTCTCGCCGATCACTTAAACTGTTGACGGTAGTTTGGCTTGATACCAAAACCCCTGGAAACCCTCATGTCTGTGTTTCCTTCCAGGTCTCTCTTTTAGCCAGGCTGCCATAGTTACTTCAGTACTGCCGGAGGTTAGGTTAGGTGTAGGGCAATAACTCTTCTCCATCTTCTCTTTTCCGAGCTGATCCCGAGCCGACACTACACCGCTTGAACCCTCACCTGGACTCTTTGGAGATAATTACACGAAACCAACTGGGACTTTAAAACTATATGGACTGAAATGAATGTCAATGTAAATGCAGTTTCATGCCCCCTGGTCACCCAGAGGAGGATGGGGTCCCCTTCCGAGTCTAGGTTCCTCTCAAGGTTTCTTCCTGCTGGAGGGAGTTTTTCCTTGCCACTGTCGCCTCAGGCTTGCTTGGTGGGGTTCTGGCCGGTTAAATGTAAAGTGCTTTGTGACAATGACTGTTGTTAAAAATGCTATATAAATAAAATTGAATTGAATAGCGAACCCATCCATGAACGTGTTTACCACATAATTGATCATATATGCTTTTTTATGTCATTTTCACCTAGTTAGCTAACTGGTTAAAGCAATTAAGTTTTAACTGAAGATCTATACACCAAGTTGAGATCCATTGAGACAGATAATTGACAAATAAGTGAGATATACAGAAGGATGTCATCCACTGGGATGTTATACAGGATACAATTGCTTTGTTTCACATCGGTCTGTTTTTTTTATTGTAGTACTGTTACAGCGTCCAAACATGCAGGCCTCACATGATAGGCTCATGCCGCTTTGTTCTGTCATTATGATAACAGTGCTAAGCAGGTGTTATTTTCCCCATAAGAAATAATGGAAAAAACAATTAATTGGTTCCCGGCCCCAAAAATTATACCGAAATATGTATTTTTTTAGCATTTAAACACAAAATGAACCAGACAAAACAAGAAAATTATATACTGTACTAAACACATCTAAGCACATTTATCAAAACAGTAATTTTTAAAGTAAGAAAATAAATGCATCCAAACAATTTGTAAAAAAACCAAAAAAAAAAAAAAACAATGTGTCATGCCCCGATCGTCCGCGCTTTCCGTGTGCCACGCCCCCTCGTTAACCCCGTGTGTAATCCCCGTGTGATCAGCTGTTTCTGGTTGTTGTCATTAGTCCTCTGTACTTCGTCGGCATTTCAGTTTGTTTCCCCAGTTCGGTCATTGTATTGTCCGTCTGCGTTTTCCCTGCCTTACCTGCAATTAAACCCCGTATTCCCCGATACCCTGACGTCTGCACCTTTGTCTCCGTTCCATCCCCGCTTGGCACAACAATACTAATGGTTTATTATTAATATTAAAATAATGAATAAGAAATCTTTATTTTAAAATGTATTTTATTATATAATAACTACTGTTACTGTCTCTCATTGTCTAAATGTATTTTTACTGTCTAAATATATGTATTCACCTAGTGTAAACATGCACAATGCTATCACAGCGAATGCGAGGCTGAGACGGAAGAGTTACCCTTTGTTTCCGCTGAGAGATGTGCTGCGTGACTCATTTCTCCGCGCGTACAAGTTATCTTAGGTCAGCATTCACGGTTTGACTTCTGAGATTCAGATCGAGTTCTAGGTAATTTTTTTTCGAACTGGTTGGTTCAACTATTAAGAAATTTGAGTTCTAATGAGTTTGAGAACTGAGGTACCACTGTATCTCGATATTATTACATTTTTAAAAAGATTCATGTCAACTGGAAAACAGAAGTGCATCCCTGCCAAACATAATATCACATAAGCTGGGAGAAAAAATGGAACACCTAGAAAAAAGTAAATATGTCTGCAATGTAAACAAAAATTTCAAGAATTTAAAAATTACATTATTCAGCTAAACGCTTAAATTCAAAACGAGACATTAAATAACATTTTTTCTGTGATGAAATTTACAAACTGACTAAATACAGTACCCTTTAAAAAAGTTACATTTATGGAGTTAAATTGAAGTATGGAATTAATTTTGTGTCAAAAGTATAAAACAAGATTTTGAAAAATGCAAGCAAATTAAGTATCAGAATGAAAATTTACATTGCATATATATATATATACACTCACCTAAAGGATTATTAGGAACACCTGTTCAATTTCTCATTAATGCAATTATCTAATCAACCAATCACATGGCAGTTG